TGTATTTCCTGTTTAAAAAAGCAGAGAAATTCCCATACAACTAGAAGTTAAGGCTGCTCAAGTGACTCTTCTATCCACGAACTCATGCATATCAAGAGTTAGGTGGCAGCTGAGCATGGGAATCTGAGAATGTGAATTTTGGATTGTTGTGCCTAAAGTGGCAGATGTCTGCGGGCTGAAGCCCTTTTGCGGACTGACCCTCTACTGTGTGCAGTTCTTCTCTGCTCAGTCTGACGACAGTCTGCTCCAACTGTACCTGTTGGGCAAATTTGCCTGTGCTAAGTGATCCCACCCTTCTTGCTGAGTTAGACATGAAGACAACACCCATGTGAAGGTTTCAAGCTTGTTTACCAAAAAAACCCAAGAGACGATCCATGGTGTATTTCAGAAGTGGTCGATTTCTAACATTTCCTGGAAACATCAGAAGTTATGTCACTTAAACCTCCTGTGGAACATTTAGTTGCTCTCTGAGCAGTAGTTATGGTAGAGGTTTTTGAATGACAAATCCAATAATGGCAAGGAGGAGTTTTTAATCTTGGCTCAAGTTAAAACAGCAGAGCATCCTTAATTACAGAATCTCTACTGTCACTTCCATAATTTCCTATATCTTCTGATGACACAATAGATACATGAAGTGAGATAATCTAATTCGATATAAATAAACCCAATTTGCCTTTTAAGAATTAGATTATTCCCAATTAGCACAATCAGTGTTGTCTTGCCATTCTAGATTTACATGACTAATTAGCACCCCTCCCAGTGGCTTGTCCTGCAAGGTTGAGCGTTAGGAATGTTAGAAATTCAGCATACAGCACCTCTCTAGTTGGCACAGACCTAATAACCTGGCAGGTGCAACAACAATGTTCTGTTTGGGTGATCCCAGCTGAAGATTGCCCTTCTGCTATCAAAATACTGATAAGGATTGCAGTGAGAGTGTTATGGATATAACCTGTATCTCCATAACTTCTCTCTTCCAAATTACACAGTCATCAGTAATGGCAATAGAGTCATTGGTTATTCAGGCTCTTAAGCAAGGTCCAAAAAGGTTTCACTACTTATTTAAGGTACGGCCAGTGATTCTCAACTAGGATGCCTTGGGGTACCTTGAGAACCTTTCAAGGTACCATGTGGTGCCACACAGTGTTAGCATGTTAGGCTTACAAGCATGATTCACAAGATAAACCCAGAAATTGTAATTCAAAATCCATAGTTGTGGTCTTTTTGAGTTCTCTGTAACAGATAAATTGCTCTATTATTTTTCTGTAATTAAGAAAAAAAGAGTGCAAGATAAGAATTAACATTTTCCAAGTGGGGCCTCAAATCTAGAAAGGTGGAGAACCGCTGCCATGGGCTATTGGAGGAAGTAAATGGTGTGTCTCAGTAGGGCTAACTACAGACAGTCAAAAAGCCTGAGGTTGAATCGATTCAGTCTTCCCAGGTTAGTCTAAGCTGCGTAGATTGAACCAATAAACAAGTGAACAGACATCCACTTTTGATTTCAGAAATACAGCCACATGCCTGATGTGGGGCACTGGAGCATGCCTCCCTGCTGGGCTGGAGCAGACATCTTAGGCCAAGGCTAGCCTACCCACCCTGCAAGGAGGGGGTTGCAGGGATGGTGCAAAGCATCCTGGGATCCTGGGGGAGTGCGAGTTAACTTGAATCTGGAGGAGATCCGGGACAGAACTTAAATAAACTGATTTAACCTAAATCAGTTACATCTGATACTATATTCATTTAGGTTTATCTTAAACCGGTTTCAGACATTTTGGAAGCAGTTCATGTGCACTGAACTTCTGTTGTGTCACAAGATTTGAACAGGTTTCTGATCACTTATAACACTTCATGTGTAATTTCTGTCTCTAGCCCAGATGACACTCATCTGAAGCATTGAACTAGTGCCTTTTTAGGCATTAATGTCAGGTATTGCACATCTCTAATGGCTCTTCTTAAATGAACTTCCCTCTGCAAATGTGCAAGAAGGGGAACAATCCCCCTGCTTGCATGGAAGGGAAGGAACAAGGTCTCCGCAGTACCATGAACTTCTGCTCCCTTCTCCCTAAAGACGGAGGAAGGCAGGCTATTCTGTAAAAGCAGCTGGTTGAGAGAGAGGGAAGTTGGAGAGAGACTCTACTCCCGGCCACTACAGAGTTGAGGCAGTGGTGGCAATGGGGTACTCTAGTTCTCATAACCACCTGTCTCAGATCCGTCAGCTTTGTTTCTGCATCTGTAAACGCTTCATGCTAAACCTACAGCATGAGTAATCTCACAGACGCACACACAGGCTGCAAAGTCCGTCTCTTCCATCTTCCAGACATCTCTGCTCGCTTTCAGTTCCCCTCGAGATGGAAAAGATGTGCAGATGTTGTACTCTGACAACACCACAGTCCCCTCCTCATCATAAACATACTTCCTGCTAACTCTGGGCAAAATATGCTCTCTGTGTATGGAACAGTATAGGAAAAAATTGGATAAATTCTTTACCAGCTGGATAGCTCGAATAACCCACAATGCCACTGCAGGTTCTGTCTTCAGCATACTTCCTGGCAGTGGTTTTCTGTCTGCTGCCTGCTCTAAATCTGGTACGTCATTGAAAATACAGGCCATATATGTGTTTGTTTTTCCCTAAGAAAAATGTGCAAGGTAAGCCACCCTGTTCGCAGAAGGGCACACCCAGTTGTACGGAGGATCTTCAGAGAGACACACTGTGCTCCTTTCAGCTTGGAAGAGAGATTGTAGAAATAGCCAGAAGCAAACAGCATCAGTGGTTAAATATCAAGCAACAGGCCCAGAGTTGCACTAACAGGGTCAGGAAATACTTAAAAATGTTTTTTTCTAAAAGACGTTCGTTCTCTTGCTGGCTGCTAGTGGGTAGGCAGAGAACCAGTGGGGTACTTCTGGTTTTTATTCAGGTAAATATTTATTTCTGTGGACATATGCATTCCAAAAACCCGTGTTTAAATCAGGTGTGGGCAAGATGGCGGATCTGGCCCGTGCTGGACTTCATTTCCCATTGCTGCAACTGGTTTCCATGGAGACCCCAGGAGTGGCGGGGCCATGACAGTGTGGGGCCAGGGTGTCCATGGAGACTGGCCTCAGCAGGGCATGCGGCTGGGTGGGAAGCTGCTCCGAGGCTGGGGCTGGGATCCTGCAGCGGTGACAGTGTGGGGCAGAGCTGTGATCCACTGTCCAAACACCCCTGCCCAGAGCATGTGAGCAACAGACTGCAGCTGTCCCAGCTCCAGACCACACTGTCAGTGCTGCAAGATCCTGGCCCCGGAGTAGCTCCCTGCCCTGCCGTGCACCCTGCCAGCGCTGCTGGGGCCGATCTCCATGGGAACCCTGGCCCCACGCTGTCACAGCCCCGCCGCTCCTGGGGTCTCCATGGAAACCTGCCACAGAGATGCAGACAGGGGCCTCCGGGAAAAGGAGTCTGCCGCAGGCTCAATCTGGCCTATGGCCCAGACTTTGCCAGTGTGTTAAAGAAAGCTCAAGTTGCAAAAGCAGATATTCAGATGTTAGGAACTGCCAGAATTGAGGTTGCCTATGCAAACTCAATTTTGCCTCCTTTGTTCATAATGCATCATAATCCCCTTTTAATTACATGGCTGCGTACTACTTTTCTCATAAGACCCTGCCTCCTTCATTCAGGATGGATGGTGCTCACTAAACAGGAAGCTGTCTTGTTTATCCCCCACTGTTTCCTATGCACTGTGCCAGGGGTGCTCAAATTTCCAGCCCCATGGGCCAAATGAGGAGCATGGGTTTGGTTCATGGGCCAAATCCCATGTGAAGGGCTGGTTTCTGGGCCTGTACTAGCACGAGGTCAGCACATGGGGTATAGCTGCAGGTGCGATCTGGTGCACTGGCCTGGCCATTCGTCCCAAGGTGATCTCACATGTGGCCCAATCTCATGTGCCAGATCTGGCCATGCACCAGCCCAGCCCTGTGCGCCGACCCAGCAGTGAAGTGACCATGTGCACTGTGCTGCCCCACCACATATGGGCATGATCTAGTGGGCAGAGTCGCATCATCTAGACCATGGGGTTCTCCATGGGTCTGGAAGCTTGGCAGCAGTTAGGAGGGGGCAATTAATGCTGCCACCGCTCCCCTCCCATCAGATTTTTGGATCTGTGGGGAGACCCAGGAGCCAGATGACATGGTCTCATGGGCCAGCGCTTGAGCTCCACTGTGCTATTCCAAACTTGCTCTGAAAACAACAAGCCTCATGGGCCTTTTCTGTGGCTCTCACCACTGTAGAGCTGAATGTTTCACAAAAGCTCATTATTTTCATCACACCCTTGAACGTTGAGGGGTGTTGTTATCCTTAGTTTACAGATGGGGAACTAAGACCAGGGGAGATTAAGGTCAAAAGTGCCCACTGATTTTTTTGGATGCCCAACTTGAGAAGCCTACAGCTTGCTTTCCCCCCCACCCCAGGGTCCTTAGTGTTATGTAGCGATTTCCTGGCTCAAAGCAGAACTGCCACGGACGGAAGCTGTGAGTGCTCAGCGTTCCTGCACGCTGGACTGTGGGGTCTCAAGTCAGGCCTTGAGAAAAGGAGGGATGTATCATTAGTGGTCATCTGTGAAAAGTATGGTTCAAGTGACTTGCTTATTATCCCACTGGGACTAAGTGGCAAAGATACGGAGGGAACGGTCCAGGATAGCAATCAACTGCCTTAAACCTGCATTTACTCTTCCTTTTCCCACAGCCTTGCATCTACTTTGCTACATACATTTATAGATTTTGCAACAAAAGAGGTAGGTATTTACAAAAAAAATAGATTGAGGCTGTAATTAAAATTTCTGCCATGATGCATATAGGCAAGAGGGTCAAATGAAGGCTAAAAAAGGTAACTTTAGTTTCTGCATGTTCTAACGTCTGAGTTCTTGACCATGTAATCTTAATAATTTTCTTTTAATACTAGTTTTTAGGTGTCCTTTCTTAAAAAGGCCAACTAAAAGAAATGCATTTTGTGGCATCATGACAAAACTCACCTTGTTTGAGAAGCACGGCTTGTTTGGTAGTATCTTTTCTAGGACCAGTTACGCAGTTGGGAAAGACAAGTAGGCTCGGGTCACAGAGTGCCTTTCTTCAGGTCTAAAACAGAGGTACTGACTTTTACTTAGTCTGAAGCTATTCTGATACCTTTTCTTTGCTTCACAGATTAACTACTCTCTTCCTCTTAAAGTAACTATTTTTACATAACAGAGTTAAACAGAAGTCATTGTTTTGCATCTATTCTTTCCTCAGACCTGAAGAAGAGCACAAATCAGAAGCTCCTCTAACCTTTCTCTCAGCTATGTGCTTGGTGCAAAGACAGATTTTCCCAGGCATACCCTGCTTCTTGCATATTCCCTGGACCATCATGGCTACCACAACATTGCATCCCACCTCGCCAGGTTGGAACTTTACCTTTTACCGGAGACCTCTGTCACTGCAGCTATTCGTTTTACATACAAAGTGGCCTAGTAACAAAAATCCCCTGACTGCTTCGATTCACATATGACTCATAGCCAGCACTTCCAGGGCATATATACTGGATTACCTACCTACTATTCAAAGAGATTGAATTCTTCCTCTCTTCCATATACTTTTTCAGGAGCTGTGTTTGCATATAAAACTAAATATATACATTAAGGAAAGCAACTAGTGAGCATGCACAATTGCTAATTTCAAAATGTTAGGCAACTTGTGCCTTTAAATTTATTTTTTGTCCAAAGTAGGAAAGGGGCTTAGCATTATTTAGACTCGAATTCACTCAAAAATGCTTTTAAATTAATCCAGCTGTTTTTTCTAGAGGCAAATGGAAATGTTTGAAGCCAATTTAGAAAACTTATTTTAGAAAAACAGAGCTACAAAATAATTAATTAGTATTAACCATTTCACTGCTCTGCTCCAGTATTCATTTTCACTATTTCACACAACTACTGTATTTGGGGATTTGAGGGGAGAGGGAAGGAAGGTCATAAAACTTTAGTTCCCAAAACTTTTGTTTCCAAGTCTGACCTGTTTTCTTGTAGCTGAAGTAATACACAGGAGGGACTGAAGGACCACTGGTTCCAACAGCCAGTGATTTATAAGTTATTTTAATTTTAATTTTGGAAGCAAAATGCCTTGTTATCCATAGATTGAAATGATATACACTGCATTTCTCTTGGCAGAGAAATACTTTGCGCCCTCACAGTCCTGTGAAGTCCATGCAACCACAGCACCGTACATGAGCTGAGAATCCAGATCTGTCTGATTTCCTCCACAGAAGATACTGTATTTCCTCAGCAAGCCATCATTAGGGGTACAAATTGCTCCCAGGCTTTCTTATGGCTAGAAGGCCTCTCATTGCTAGAGCAGCGGTTTGGGACTTGCAGACTTCCTAGTCCATTTAAGACTTAAGGGACTTGACTGTGGGGTAATGCCTCTTTCACACGCTCATACATTTTAGGGGCTAAATTGAGCAATCAGTTACAGTAGTGTAAATTCAGCGTAACTTTGGTAGGAATGACAGAGAGTAGACCTTGTCCTCAGGCTTTTGAAAGCGGCAAGTGAGCCTCAGAACTGGATAAACACTGAACACCTCATAAATATTCAGCAGTTTCTTCTGATGTTTGCAGTCAGCACATTACCATATAAACAAATGCCTGGAGCTAAATCCTGTGGAGTTCAAATGAGATTAGGACTTGGCCCGTAGAAATTCTATTAGAAACGAAGAGAAATTTGGCCTCGCTACTTGCACAAACTACAACTGAATGAGTTAAAAGTCACATTTCCATGATTTACTATGGAGAGAAATGTAGTTACACTTGGGTGAATTGCATTTACTTATAAACTGGTGAATTTTATTCCCTCCAATTCAACCCAGTGGAAGGTTCAAGTCAGCGCAGATCAGTGACATCAGCTCCTGTGAACAGGGCGAGTCAATGTTTGCCTCTCAAATCTCAGTCTGAATCACCAATAAGCTGTATAAATATTGCAGTCTACTTTTCTTTCACCCAACAAGCCTTTTTATTTCCATTATGCCTACAGCCCTAATGCAGAGGAGAGTGAAGCTGACCATTTCTAAGCTTTGGAATGGCAGAAATAATTCATCTGATTTCTGGAATGATTTTTTTACTTGTCATCTGTCAGCCTTTTTCAACTAGTAATACATGGAGGAGCGGACTTGGAAATCTTCATGGGCTGCATACTTACTTAACCATGCCATCAGCTTGAAGTCAGCTGCAGGCTTTACTTAAATACTTCCCAGCATGCATTTGAAAGAAAAATCTCCCCCAGAGTTCCTGGAGTTTTGATGATGGAGCCCCTATAACTGGTAACCGGCTGGAGAGACCCACATGAATATTTGGACAGCAGCATTATAACTTGGTCTACATCTAGATAGCAAACTCTCTGAGGCCAGTACCATTTTTGTTGGTGTGTATGCAGCACCCGCATAAGGAGGTCCTCACAGATTCACAGAGTTTGGAGCTGGAAGGGACCTTGTGAGATTATCAGGTCCAGCCCCCTGCTCTGGGCAGGAAAGACTGTTGGGTCAAATAACATGGGATGGCTAATAACTTAACCAGTGTTTGAATGAACCTGAGATACCAGTCTCATGCTAAATCAGAATTTACAATAGGATGAGATGGGCAATGGCAGGCTCCACTCCAGATGAATCAATGACTGGTCGCAGTACTGAGGAAATGCCAGAAAAGTATAATTCCTTTAACTGGATCACTAGCTGGTGGTTTTGAACAAGAAACTAGAATGCAGTGATGGTTGTTGGAGCTGACTTCTAGGGGTGTGTGAAGCGGGCCCTATTCGATTCGGATTTGGATTCAGCCCGAATCAGGGACAGCGATTCGATGTGGTGACTCGGATCGCTGTCCCTGATTCAATTTGGCCAAATCCAAATCTGAAGATTCAATGCTGATTCAGAGAATCAGCGATTCAGACATAGACACAGCTATAAAAGTTTTTTCTACATACCTTGAGGTAGCAGGCATGGCTTGTGATCGCGGTGATGGTGGGGCAGATGGAGCATCCCATAGGAGCATGGGGGGCCTCCATGTGCTCGGCAGCGAACCAGGAAGTGGACTGGAAGTACTTCTGGTCCCCTTCCAGGTCTGCTGGAGAGTGGCTTGGCGATCGGCCATGGGGGGACCCCGGGTGCAACCTCCAGACCTGGGAGGCACCAGTTACTGAGCCGGGGTGCGGAGGGGTGGGCCTGTGTGCTCCCCGGCAGACCCAGAAGTGGATCAGAAGTGCTTCTGGTCCACTTCCAGGTCTGCTGCTGAACGTGCTGGGGAGCCCCCTGTGCTCCTGTGAGATGCTCCATGCACCCCAGCATCGCAGTGATCACAAGCCCCTGCTACCTAGAGGTACGTAGAAGAAACATTTAAAGCTGTGTCTATGTCCGAATCTCTGAATCTTTCCGAATCTCTCTGAATCAATTTGGAGGGTTCTGATTCAATTCAGAGAGACTAAAGGGTCCTCTGATTCGATTCAGATTCAGAGATTTGGCCACCAAATCGGGCCAAATCTCCGCTGGCTCAAATCACCGACGGAAGCTTCGCACAGCCCTACTGACATCTATAAAAATGTATCTACTGGGGGAGCTGCAGCCTGCCGAGCTCAAGAAGACAATGGAGCACAAACCTCAATTACCTTGTGCTCTAGAAGCCTATACCATTTCCATCTGGAGACTAACAAAAAGACTAACAGGCATCCCCTCTTAAGAGGGCTCTGTATGACTTGACAGAAGAGAGAGTGCTATCCAAGCCAAAGAAGCAGAAGCTGGTTTGCAGATAGGTAGATGCAATGTGGGAGAGAAAACAGAGAAAGCTGCCTCACTAAAAATAATTTAATTGAATTGACAGTGAGTGCAATGTTAACATAGTTATTTCCTAGCTCCAGGAAGACAAAAAGGCAGGCTCAGCTTAGTAAACATCATCTTCATTCATTTCCCTGAAGAGCAACAAGGGTTGGGTCACACAAGCTCAGCCTATGTTTGAAGTGGTGAGGAGTCACCCAACCCTGTGGCATCTACAGGAAAGACTGTGTCTGCTGCAGATACAAGCTCACTTGGCTGCACATGCTTTACAGTAGCACCACCTGTTCAAACTGCAAGGGGAAGCAGCAGGAGGGTCTATCTCTTCCTTGTCCTCGTTGGAATGACATGTATTAGAAGAGGATTCAAACTGGATGCAGGGAATATGACACCCTGATTCAAATGGCTATGCAAGGACCAGGAGAAGTCTTCCTCCACCATTTCCTCACCTACTATGACCTCTGTAAGTGCCAGGGACCATCTTGTTCTGTATATAGAGTTTCCTTCACTTCATGAGAGGGAGTTCACTCTTTAAAATGAAACCTAATTATAGGGGTATTCCTGGTTTTCAGGACTGTGTTTTCCCCACCTCCCTTGGAGGAATTCCTCTCCTTTGAGTCTGCTGTCCTTGATCATTAAAACATAGTTCAGCTTTCCAAGTCCCAAACACAATGGTCAGCTGAAGTTTTGACACTTCAGCACATATCAAGCAGGAGCAGATATCCAGGACCTTGTGGGCTGGCTGCTTGGAGAATTAACGTGACTATCTTTCCTCAAGAATCTCCTCCCGTCACCAAGAACTGACTGAGAACCTCAAGAGGTTTGACTCTAAGTAGACACCAAAGCAGCAAGTAAATTCTGTTGCTGCTTTTCAAGTTCCTCACACAAAAAAACTCCTGCAACCCAACAGCTTCCACCACCAGCACTGCATCCAGGACAAAACGATCCTTGTGGACTAAGAAATCGAATTTGGGAGTCCATATGTTGCAGCACCACCTGATGACATCAGTCCTCACAATAAACCTTTTGTTCCTCCGAACTCCCAAATTTGACAGCCCTGCAGCAACTGCTAAGCTGAAGTGTTATCTGAGTAACATCATTTTTGACAGAGGTGGTAAAGATTACTCGGGATGTGGTTTAAATGTTTTGATGGTCTCTTGACTCTGCTGAAGTTAGTCACTAGGCCTGTGCGAGTCAGCAGAGATCTGATCCGGCTTCAGATCCGACTGCTTTGGATGGCCGTGATCCGATCCAATCTGGAGCTCCGGACCAGGTTTCCACCTCCATCCGGC